ACGCTCTACCAACTGAGCTAAACCCCCGACTATGTCAAGCGACGAACATATTGCGCACAGATAGCCTTGCTCATAGCGCTTCACTTCTTCTCCCACTTGACAGATTGGCCCGTCCGGAGTTGTCGAGTTGCCGTGAAGCCGGTGGGTGCACAAGAACCCCACTGCGGCATTTGGGTGGCAATTCCTCGCCGCGGCTATCTCTCACCTCGTTGGCTGCGGCGTTGTACGGAGTGGAGTCGAACGGAGCTTCGAATCCTGGTTGCTGCGCATCAACATCAAGTTTTACCGAACGATATCATTGCATGTAGAAAGGAGGTGTGATTGGATATCGATAAACTGGACAAGGGTGCTGCAGCGAACAGTGTCAGATGCGAGTCAGACGCCGCGCTTGTCAGAGTCACTTTTTTTTTTTTGTCCGCGGTATCCGCCGTGATGGACATGCGTCGGACAGAGCGCAAATACGCAGGAGTAGCCGCCATGGCGTGCGTTTGCCGCTGCCGTTGCCGAAGCGCCGGTCCAACCCAGCGCTGAACGCCAATTCAGCCGACTTTTTCACCGCGCTCCGTTGGGCATGCCTGTGCTACAGTATCCTCCGTTGGTGCTCGGTGGCTTGGCTTACGACCACCATCGCCAGTCGTCGTTTGCAGTGCGGCCTTTTCCCTCCGATATATAAACCCCCTGTACGACATCTAGACGCTGGGATCGACGCACGGATACAAGCCGCAGCGAAGGACCATGTCAACACAAGCCGGCTCGTCGACGCAGGATCACTACGCACATGCACCACGGACATCCCAGCCGCTTTCGCTAGATCACGCAGACCACGCATCCGAGGGTGCGAGCACTCCGTTCACCATGACCGCAGAAGCATCCTCGTCCCGGTCGCGCACGGATTCGGCTTCGTCCCACCACGACTCGCCCGTCTCGCTCTCTACATATGTCGACCACACCGCGCAACCACGCAGGCTCGACCCCAATACCGACGCTTCGCTCCATCCTGCTACTGCGCCGGTGGATGGTGTCGATGCGGAAAAGGACCTCGAAAAGGTTCCCCAAGCGGATCCGGCTGCACTTGGTGCCGAGGCAGACGAGGACGTGATCTGGGTCGACTTTCCCCCGGACGATCCGGAGAATCCGTTCAACTTCTCGACCACGCGCAAGTGGTGCATCACCATCCTCGGCGTGCTCTTCACCGCCGAAGTTGCCGCCACCGCCTCGGCCTACGTGCCGGGTATCCCGTCGATGGAACGCGATCTGGGCATCACCAACCACGAGCTGAGCTTGCTCGGTATCGCCGTGTACCCGCTCGGCTTTGCGCTGCCGCCGCTCGTGCTCGCACCGCTGTCCGAGGTGTTTGGTCGAAACCCAATGTACCTCGTCTGCCATCTGTGCTACACCATTCTGTTTGTCGGGCTTGGATTCGCCAAGAACCTGCCCACCGTCATCATCCTACGCTTTCTGCAGGGCGGATTCGGCAGCACGGGGAGCACCATGGTCGGCGGCACCATTGCAGATATCTGGAACAGCAAGCAGCGTGGACAACCCATGGCGCTGTTCGCCACAGGTGCCATCTTTGGTACGGGCATAGGGCCAGTTTGGGCAGGATGGGTGGAGCAAAACACACGCCTGCAGTGGCGATGGATCCAGTACATCCAGGCGATCTATACTGGCTTCATCCTCATCCTTTTGCTGCTCTTCCTGCGCGAGACACGAGGCAGCATCATCTTGACTCGAAGAGCAGCCAAGCTGCGCAAGACCACGGGCGATGGACGATACAAGGCACGTGCCGAGCTCGAGAGGGCATCGGTGAGCGTGCTGATCAAGAACTCGCTGACTCGACCCCTGATCTTCCTGGTCAAGGAGCCGATCGTGACGTTTTTCTCGCTCTGGATCGCGTTCACCTGGGGATTCATGTACATGCTCCTCAGCTCCATCGGCCTCGTCACTGCACAGCACGGCTTTACCCCCGGAGAGACCGGATTGGTCTTCATCTCGATCGCAGGTGCCGGCGTGGTGGGAAATCTCATGAATCCCATCCAGGAGTATCTGTACCGCAAGAACTTCGCCAAACGAGGTCCCGAGGCACGGTTGTACCTCGCCTGCGCAGGCGCAGTGTTCTTTCCCCTCGGCTGCTTCATCTATGCCTGGACGAGCTTCCCACACACTTCGATCGCCGGGCCAGTCGTCGGTGTTGCTACACTCATGGTGGCCATCTACCACATCTACCTCGCCGTGTTCAACTACCTCGCCGATGCCTACCTCACCTACGCCAGCTCGGCACTCGCAGCCCAGAGCTTCGCACGCAACCTCTTTGGCTTCATCTTTCCCCTCATTGTCGAAAAATTGTATCGCGGCCTTGGGTATCAGTGGGCCAGCACGCTGTCTGCCTTCCTGGGCGCCGCGCTGGGCGTGGTGCCGTTCGTGCTCTTCTTCCACGGCAAAAAGATCCGCGCCAAAAGCAAGATCAGCCAAGCCCTTCAGCGGCAGTTGGAAGAACAAGATCGCCAAGCCAAGGCCTAGCACAACGCAATCCACACTCAAGACTCACTCGTGCAACGTCGGTCCATCTTTTGTATCGCTTAATCAGTCATTCTTCGCTTTGATCGTGCGTGGAAGTGTGAAAATTGCAATGAGTGTCAAACACGGCAGCGGGGGAAACGAACCAATGTGGGGCTAAAGTGGGCGCAATTAACTCGACTTGGGAGGGCCACGTTTGGGACCGGAGCCCGAGGGTTTGAAGCGCTTCGCATCGCGACCGCCGGCCTTGTTGGCTGGGCGGGAGGCAGCGGTGGGCTGGCGCAGCTTGACCTTGTCCTTGGTCTTTGCCTTTTCGCCCTCTGCAACCAGCGACCTGTCTCGGCGTGCGGGGTGTGCGCCGTCTGCGAGCTTCTTGTTCTTCTTGGCCATGCGGCGGTTGACACGGTCGGCATCGTCCTTCTTCATCTGCTTGCGCTGGTCCTTGGACAGCGTAGCGTACAGCTCGGCCTTCTTGGCGATATCCGCCTTGTCGGCCGTGCGCGCTGCACTCGGGCTGCCGGGTACGATCTTGGTCGCACCAGGACGCTGACGCTTTGCCGCGAGTGCGTGGGGCGAAGTACCGTTGGGCGTAGGTGCGCCACTCGAACGCTCGTAGCGCGGCGACTTGCGCTGCGGCGTCGTCGGCTCCGCATCCCCGCCCGCATTCGCGTTGCGCCGAGCTGGAGTGGTGGATTTGGTCTGCGACTTGCACAGAGCAACGCGGATGGGTCGACCGTGCAGCTTGAAGCGACGCTTGAACTCTTTGCCGCCCTGCGCGATGGCAGCCGAGGCGCCAAGACTACCCTTGGGCCCCTTGACCGACTCGAGGAAGGCCTGCTCGGCAGTGAAGGCGGCCATCACTTCGTCGACGCACTGCTGCGAGGTGAAGCGCACGTAGCCAAAGCCCTTGCCCATCTGTGTGGCCGCGTCGCGGATAAGACGCACGGAGCGCACCCACTCGGCGCTGCGCACCACCGAGTCGGTCACCTTGCGCTTCTCGGGCGGCACAATGGGGAACTCGCGCGACAGAGCATCGAGCAGCTCCTTGGGCGCCGGTTCGCCATCCAAGCCTGCCACAGGCAACGTGACGGCCTCGCCTGCCTCACCGAGCTCGTCGACGAGCATCGCCTCGAAGAAGGCACGCACCTCCTCCTCGTCGACCTCAAAGTCGAGGCCGCCGACAAAGAGGGTGCTCTTGGGGTCGGTAGTGGAGCTGCTCGAGCCGACGAGCTGGCCGTCGAACGTCTTGACCTTTTCGAGACCCGAGGCAAGCACCTCGCTGGGCGATATGGACTTGACCAAATCGACGCGCAGATGGCGTCCCTCGAAGGACTGACCGTCGGCAAACGAGGCGATGAGCGCGGCAAGTACGGTGCCGGTGAGCCTGTCGTCGAGCTGGATCGGCTCGCTCTGTGCATCCTTGGCCTTGGCCTTGGCCGGGGTGATGTCGTGCAGGTGCTGGAGCACCGCCTTGGGGTGTGCGATCGTGACGTACGCCGAGACGGTCTTTGCCTTTTCGTGGAAATCCTTGTTGATAAAGGCGATCTTGCGCTTCTGCTGTGCGGTGAGAGGAGCCTGCGCCTTGTCGCCGCCTTCGACGGCAGCAAGAGCCTCGCGGTAGTTCTGGCTGCGCTCCTTTGCCTTGTGGGCCTTCTTCTTCTTGGCGGCATCGTCGTCGTCGTCTTCGTCGGCGTCGAGGTGGACGGTGGGTGTGGCGAATGCGACGGAGCGGAAACGCAGGCCGACGGCCTTGGTGAGGATGGGGTAGGGAGAGAGGGACTCGATGAACGAGACGAGCTTGCGCTGCAAGGGGCGCGACTGCGCGGTCTCGATGGGGAGGTTGCCGATGAAGAGCGTGCGCTGATCGCGGAGCTCGGACGGCTCGGGTTCCTCTTTGAACGTGGTCTTCTTGCGTGGTTTGGTATCAAATTTGCTCTGCGACTTGGACACGGATTCGTGCTGGGGTGGTACGTAGGGTTCTTGGTCCTCTGCGTCGGCGTCGTCGTCGTCGTCGTCGTCCTTGTCGGAGGTCTCGTCTTCGCTGTTGCTGAAGAGGAGCGAGCCTTCGTCGTCAAGAGACTCGTCGATGCTCGAGAGATNTCGTCGTCGTCCTTGTCGGAGGTCTCGTCTTCGCTGTTGCTGAAGAGGAGCGAGCCTTCGTCGTCAAGAGACTCGTCGATGCTCGAGAGATCACCATCGCCCTCTTCCATCTCTACGTCGTCGTCATCCTCTGCCTCCTCCTCGGCATCGTCCTGCTCGCTGTCCTGGTCATCGTCGTCTTCCTCGAGCACCTCCTGTGGTTCTGGCTGGGCGGCCTTTCGCTTTTTGGAGTTGGACGGGCCTGGAGCCGAGCGGCTTGCCGAAGCAGAGGAAGCTGCAGGCCTGGATGTTGTCGCAGCAGCCGGGATGCCGGCAGGTGGCGCGGAAGGGGCGGCTTTGAAGAAGGCGTCGAGCTCGGAATCAAAGCCGGCGGCGGGGGCCGGAGCGGCAGCAGGCGCGGCGCCCTCTGCAGCTGTTAGTGACGCAGCCGCCGAGCCGGACTTCTTTCCTTTCTTTGCCATCTTAAGTCTGGGTGCCGTGTAGGATGGTGGCGGTGGTGGTGGTGGTGTCAGACGGTGAGGATGGCGTGTGGGGCTGCCAACTTGAACTAGGCGCTATGCTGCTCTGTCCTGCGCAAGGCAGAAAAAAAAGCCCCTCTCGCCATCCCCGCCGAGAAATTTTCGAGCGCTTCTTCAGGGTCGTTGGCCGAAGCCGCAACGGCCGATTCCCGAAAACTTGCCCTTGAAATCCCAACAGTGTGTCCTTTTACGGTCTGACATTTGTAGGTGATTTTTGCTTCATGCCGACGGCCGACAGCCGACGCGCAGCTCGCGCAGCTGGCGCAACTCGCAATGCAGCGGGTGCATGCTGCAGACGACATGGAAGGAGCGATGCAGCTGATTGACACTCTAAGCTGGCTGTGCCCCTTTGTGTGCATTGTTCCTGGCGACATGTGAACGCAGCAACCGAAGCCGGATTGCAGTCGGGTGGTCCAGTCATGTCGAGCCAGGATGGAATGAGCATGGCCCCATCTTGGTAACGGCGCATGCTTCTGTGCTGCTCTGACGAGAGAGACGGAGCAGCAGCGAGGCTTAAGGCGGCCGAGAGAGGAAGGTCGAGGAACGCGAAGCCGAGTCGTGGCTCTTTGCTCTTCGATCCGCTTGCCAACGTCGCAGGCACCGAACGGAAGCTCTTCTTTTGTTCGAGCTTTTGGTCGAGCCGGCTGGAAAGGCCTTGGCGGTGGCATGCCTTGACCGACGCATGCACGGCTCGAAACACACGGAATTCCGCGCAGCTGCACGAGTCTGCAGCCTTTGGTGTGCAAGTTTCGAGCTAGGGCAGCCGAGCCCTTTGAATTGGCGGCAGATGAGCAGCGGGGCATTGTTGCCAGCAGGTATTTTGGCTGGCGTGGCTGGCGCGGGACACGCGTCGAGCGAGGTCGACGAAGAATTCCAGTCAAATGTGGGTCGTCGATCCCTTTCTGACAGACGGATTGGACACTGCCAAAGTGCCCGAAGAACGCGACGCCCTCGAACCAATTCTGCCTCGGCGCAGTCGCCCGAGCGGACTCACCAAGGCGCGGTGGGGCCGACACTGGTGGCGAGCCTCGAGAGGAGGCTCTCCCTCGCGTCGCCCTCGGCTCCTCCGCCCTTTCGGCTCGCTCTGGCTGACTGGGCTCTGTTGGGTGTGTGTGTTTCGGACGAGCCGCCTCATCAAGGGGGATGAAGGGGGGGATGCACCGTTGGCATGGCGTGAGAGTGCGGCTGCCCCGCCAGCCCCCTGTCTGCTCTGCTCAAGGCAGATCGTCGTCGAACGCTTGGCTCGGCTGCAAACACGAGCCTGCAAACCAGAAAGGGAGCGATCCAGACTGAGCCCTGTCGATCCTGTTTTTCGTCCGCTGCTCTTTTGCTTGTTGCTGCCTTTGCTGGCCTCCTTTGTGCTTTTGGCTGAGGATCCCCCGCCCGCCGCCCCCTTCGTATCGTCGTCGCTGCGACTGCACGCCATCGTCGCTCGCCAGCCTGCCTGCCTGGTTCCCACCACCATCGCGTTTCTCTCTCTCCCGACCTCCTCATCACCACGTTCCTCCCCTCCCCTCTGTCCGGCTCTTACACTCTCTTTCCGGCTCGTTTCGTCGCACAGCCCAGGTCGGCACCTTCGCATCAGCTTCATCGACACCGCGCCCAGCCCACGTTCTTTACTGTATCCTCATCAGCCGCATACTCGACTCGCCACCCGCCTAGACTCACCTCTGTGAGAAAGAGTTGCTTTGCCCGCCATGACGCTCGACACCCGCAGCCACATGCATCACCACCACCACCACCAGCAGCAGCTCAAGCAGCGAAAGGTGCAGCCGAACAACACCAAGCGCATCGTCAAGCGCCAGTCCTCCTCCACCATCGACAACTCGGCCAACTGCCTCTCCGGTGGTCTCTATGTCGCCCCCGCCAGCGGCGCTCAGGTCCAGGTGACCAACGTCACCGAGATCAAGTGGGACCAGTCGTGCCTCGACGCCTCCGTCTCCAAGATCGACATCTACGTCTACTCGCCCTCCATGCCCGACCAGTTCCTCCCCATCCACGTCATGACCGGCATCCCCAAGTCCGCACAGCTCTACAACACAAAGCTTGACCCGCGCTGGTGGGGTCGCGACCTCGCACACAACTCGTCCGTACCCGTCTCGTTCAACATCGTGCCCGCTGGCAACGAGCCCTGGGACTCGTCCAACCCCATGGGCCCCACCTTTGTCGCCAACTACAACGTCCCCGACCAGGGCGGCGAGTCCAAAGCAGCCACCTACTTTGGCAAGCTCACCAACTCGGTCAAGACCGCCTTCCTCGAAAACGGCCACCTCACCCCCGCCGGTAAGACCGCCGCCATCGTCTGCCCGCTCGTCGTGCTCGGCGTCGCGCTCGGCCTGCTCGTCCGTCGCCTCCACATCAAGCGCCACAACAAGACCGTCGACTGGGCCGACCACATGGACAAGCGCATGAGCAGGATCTCGGTCGACTGGACCACCGGCGGCGACGGCTCCGCAGGCCCCGTCCCCGGCACCCGCCCCGCCTCCTACCTCTCGCGCCCCTCGCGCGACATGGACGCTGCCGGCAACTTTGCCGGGCGTGGCGCCGGCGCGCGCATCCCGCGCCAGATGGACGACATCACGCCCGCCTTTGCCACCGACGACGAGATGCGCGAGGCGAGGCCGCGCGGCATGTCGATCTACGACGAGGGCAACCGCACCTCGCGCATCTCGTTTGCCGACAACACGCGCGGCGACCGCATCTCGCGCATCAGCTACGCCAACTCGAGCGATGCGCACGGCCGCTCCTCGTCGCACCTGCCGCGCGTCGGCCAGCAGGGCAACATGCGCCGCTCCCAGCTCGTCGACTCGTACTACGACCCCGACGCGCCCGCCGTGCCGCAGCTCGACGCGCGCTACCGCGCCAGCGAGGACGTTCGCCGCTCGCGCTTCTCCGACGGCCTCATCTACGCCGAGGCCGACGAGCTGCGCAACCCGCAGCACGAGGACGACGACGAGGTGCTCATGAGCCCCACGCAGAACGAGGGCCCGCGTCCGCTCGGCGCCAACGACGTGGACCGCATGCGCCAGAGCCTCGACGCCAACGCACGCAACTCGATGCTCTCCTACCCGGCGCTCAGCATGATGCAGTCCGGACGCGAGGGCAGCGACGGCCACGACATGTTTGACGGCCCCAACGCGGCGCGCCGCGTCTCGGGCGGCAGCGCCGACTCGTACATCGACCACATGCACTACCAGCACTCGGGCAACGGCGCCGCCGTCGCGCATCTCGAGCGTACCGGTGCCGGTGTGTCGGCGCAGACGGGCATGGCACCGCCGTCCAACTTTGCGTCGCCGGACGAGGCGATGAAGCACTACGCCTCGCTGCGCGCCGGCAGCAGCGCGGTCGAGACGTCGGCGCAGAGCTCGAGGTCGCTCTACACTCCGGATGCCGCCAACCACCGCGGCCACTCGAGCGTCGCTGGCTCGTCGCTCAACGAGGAGGAGGTGGTGGGCTACAACGAGATGATCGACCACGGCAACCAGTCGCGCTAGGTTTCGCCGTCGCTCCCTCCTCTTCTTGTGCTGTAATGGTTTCTTTGGCTCCCCTTTCTTGCGCGTTCTGCGCCCCCGCTCCCTGGCGCCGCTCTCCCTCTCTCTCCCTCTCTCTCTTTCGCTCTTGCTGCTTCCCTTATTTTGTTTCGGCTCGGACCGCCTTAGCTTTGTTGTTTTGATCTCCGATTTGCTTCTCTCATAGCTCGCGTTGGGCAGTGCCACCACGAGCTTCGACGACGCGCGCTCCGTCTTAGAGTGCGTGGATGTCTGGATGCCAGGTGCGCTGCCCTCTTTCTTCTTGTCTCGCTTCACTCGCTTCTCTAACGCTTGCATGGCTGGCGTGGCCGGCAGATGGCAGAAGGGTTCAGGTCGGCGGCGGCTGTGCTTCCGCCGACTCTTCTGCCATGCTGCGTCGCGCTGCTTTCGCGCATACTTTGTTCTAGGCTGGCTTCTTGCTGGCTCGAAGTCGGCTCTACCTAGCGCATCCTGTTTCTTCCTCACTTGTCTGCTAAAATGCGAAACGGTTTTGTGTAGTCTGGCATGCCGTGCGTTTGGCTTAGAGGAGGAGGAGGAGGTTTGGGTGGGTCTTGATGGATGGACTTTTCGTACGGGAGAGATTGGAGCGCATGCGGGGAGAGACGAAGGGTTTCACGCTGATTTGGCTTGAGCTGGATGCATCGGCGCGCGTGGGCCAGGCGGTGCGGGGCAGGTTGGAAGGGGAGAGAGAGGGAGAGGTGGAGGCAAGGACGGCGCATCCGGCTGAAATTGTGGACCGGACGGAAGGGATGCAGGTGCGGTTAGGCCGAGCAGCCACGCCGAGCTGTCAGACGCTCTTCTCTGCACTGCGTCCATCTTGAGCTTGGTCTCTGTTCTTGTCGTCACCGTCACCGTCACCGTCGCCGTCTTCAGCACAGGTGTAACCTACTCATTCGATCGAGTCGTATCAGGGCACGTCGCGTATAGATCAGCAGGCATAGACTCGTAACGCATCAAAGCTCGAAACGCAACGCGGCCTCAATCCTCGCACGCCTCGAACACTACGCAGACGGTGCACCATGTCGTTGGAAAAGAAGCTTACGCAGGTGGCGCTGAATCCGGCCTACCATGACTTTTTCACGGTGGTCAAGGGTTTCCGCAATGGCATCGTGTACGGCGCCAAGATTCGGTTCCCACACGCGCTGGTGATGACGTTCCTCTTTGGCCGCGGCACCCCGCGCGAGAAGCTGGCCTTCATCCTGCGCGCTACCAAGTCGCACGCACTCAACCTTGGCACATTTACGCCGCTGTACAAGTTCCTCACCATCGCGCTGCGACGCATCTACGAGGCTACCGGCGGCAAAGGCGCCGTCCCCCAGTGGCACAGTCTTGTGGCGGGTCTTATCGGAGGCTACTACGTGTTTGGCGAACGAACACCCGTCAACGAGCAGGTGAGTCCCCCGAACTCTTTTATGGCCAAGTCGAGAGCGAAAGACTGACGTGTTGCATCTTGGTGCGTGTAGATTGTGCTGTATACGTCGTCTCGAATCATTGCATCGTTCCTGCCCCGTGCGCAGACGCCAGCGGACTGGCCGGCAGGAAAGCCCAAACCGACCGACAAGTCGTGGTTCGCCGCATACGCCACCATCACCTGGGGTGTCGTCATGTGGCTCCACGAATACCGACGCCAAACCATCCAGACCGGCATGGTCAACAGCATGGACTGTACGTTTCTCCTTCCTGTCCTTGACGACGTGGCGTAGTTGGACGCTGACTCTTTGACGGAACTTCTTCTTGGCGATAAACAGATCTCTATCACAACGCAGGCAAGTGGGACAGGTACGTATTCTCCAGTGCATCTTCACGCTCGCACGCGATCCATACTGACATGGGCTTGCTTTTCGGTGCAGCTTGCGGAACCTGTTCTGGCACAACAAGTAGGCGCCTTCCACGTGATGGTCTCTGTGAACTGTGTATGCTCTCTCGCCGATTGCATCTGTTGCTACTCGCTCGGTGTCTTGACTGTGGTCCTGTCGGTGTTGCATTGCCTGCAGTTGCGAAGGGATGCCATGTGGTGATCTGCTCGCATATGCACATTGTTACAGTGGAGACACCTAACATACTCTGTGCAAAAATCAAGCATTTCTTGGGCCCTTTTTTCCCGTTCTCTTTTTTTTCCAATGCGAATTGTTGGACGCGCGCTAAATGTCGGTGCTTGAAGACGAGGGGCGCAGGACGTTCTGCAGAGAACATTTTCGCATATGCGTTCGTGCCTCGGCTGCTGTCGGGCGCCACGACACGGCATCTAAAGCATTGTCGATCCTGCAGGCGCTGATCAGAGTCGGACGATCTGCTCTCTCGGCCGATGGGGGTCGTGCGAGATCGACGCATGGTTCAAGGCGTCGCTAGGCGAGACTGCAACTACAGCACGCGATGATGTGCTGGCAACCACACAAATTCGCCGCAAGCATAGACACCGACACGCCCACCTCGCGTCCACAGTCGGCCTGTTCGGGTCATGTCGAAGAGGCGCTCGTGTCGGAATGAAGTGTGGTCGGGGCCCCAATCGTGCGGCGTTGGTATGAAGGTCGAAATGAGACGCCACTGGCAGCATACGCCGTAGAATGAAGGGCTGATTCCCGCTCAAAGGCTGAGTGTCGATCTGGAGCGGGCCAAGTTGTTGCAACCAAGCTGGCTGATCGACACGGTGCAGAACGTGTCACCGCCGCAAAGTGGAAGAGAAAGAGCTCGGTTGAGCAAGGTGAAAAAAAAACGCCGGCAGCCGAGTGCGAGGAGCGAGGAGGGAGCAAGGAAGCAAGCCAGAGGGCAGGGGTGGACGAGCAGCACCCCGAAAATAACACGCCGCATGGCCCACCTCCCACTCCTGCAGCGATGTGCAGCGCGGTGCCCAAATGCACAGGGAGGGTCCGCCGAGTCTTTGTCTCGGACTGCAGAGAGAGCAACAACAAAGGGCCCCAAAGGGCGCAGAACAAGAGAAGGCTTCTTTTGGCTGCCTCGACTGGGTTCAAGCTCCGAGTCGGGTTGGCCGGCTTCGAAGACAGCCAAGGCACAGCGACGCGCAGACGCGTCCGAGGCATTCGCAAAAAGGTGAGGGCAAGAAGGCACTGGAACAGCAAGTCGCGCAAAACCGCCAGCTGTCAAATTGCCAGCCAAACCCAACACGGCTGGATTTTCGCACTGAAACACAGCTCGGCGGGCGGCGCGGCGCAGGTGCAGCTGGCATTCCGCGAGCCGCTGGCCAAGACGAGGCTCGGCTGACCCGGTGCCGTGCTTCTGCCCTTCGCTGCCCCTCTCTGCCCCTCGCTTTGCCTTGCTTTGCCTTGCTTTGACCTCGCGTTGCGTTGCGTTGCGTTGCTCTGCTCGCGCTCTGCTAGCGTCGGCGCTCAGGAGGTGGCGAGCGAACAGAGCGAGGCGGCCCACCCGAAGGGCAGAGGGGCGGTCTGGAATGCAATGCAGTTCAGCATGGTCCTCTCCTCCTGCTCGCACTTGCTCCCCCCCCCTTTGTCGCGAGAGAGACTTTGAAGGCGACCCTTTTTTGTCGCTGCCAAGCGCGCGTGCCCGTCCGCCTTTCATGCCAGCGCCAGACTGCCTCCCTCCTTGCCCTGCCTCCGCACCTCCATCCTCACGTTCGCAACTCCCACCATCCCTCCCCAAACAATCCCGCACTTCCTTCGACGTTCACGGCAGGCACGTGAACATCCTCCACCACACCCCACGCTCACGACGCACCTCCACCATCCTCCCAGATTCAGCGTCCACAGCATCCCTTGACGACCCAACCCCACATTCTTTTGTCACAACCACCGACTCTACACTGACCAGGCTCAATCCATCCATCCATCGCTTCATCGACACCACCGCGATCACCATGTCAGCCATCAACCAGAACGCACCGCGTATGCGCCGCCACAAGCGCCGCATCCTCGACGACGGCTCCGAGCTCGCTCACGCCGTCCGAGCCTTTGTCGACGACCAAGTCGATGACAACGCCCTCTTCGCCCGTCAGGCAGACGGCGCCAACGGCATCGGCCCCGGCAGAGGCGCCAACGCTCCCCCCATGGGCCCTGGCTTCGGCGGTTCCGGCGACGACAGCACCTCGTCCACCGACAGCAGCAACGCCACCCCAACTACCACGCGTGGATCTAACGGCAACGGCAACGGAAACAGCCGTCCCACACCTACCGCCACATCCACCTCGCTCAGCCGAAACCTCTTCCCCACCACCACCTCGTCTTCCTCTTCATCCAACTTCCTCGACGGCATCCTCGGCGGCTTGCTCGACTCGTCGTCTTCCACCACCTCCTCCTCGTCATCCACCTCGACCTCCTCCAGCACAAGATCCACATCCACGTCTTCCTCCACCAGATCCACATCCTCCTCCAGCTCCACTTCTTCGGTTAGTGTCCATTCTGACAGCCAGACAGCCACACAGCAGCAGCAGCAACCACAGACCACCTCGGAAAGCAACGACGACGACACCTCGACGCGCATCGACTTTTCTTCGGTTGGTCTTCCTACATTTGTTGTCCCAGATCATATGTCCTCTAGCTTCCTTGTTGCCCTCTACCACTTGTCCCCCCAACCAATGCCCCTTCCCACATGCGCTTCGTCGCAAAGGTCGTACACACGCACCATACCTCTGACTGAATCCCCCACACGCAAACACGAAGCCCCGCGCATCTCTTCAAGACCCTTGCATTCTCGGACGACCCCCAATCGCACTCACCTCTCTTGCTTCCTCTTGCCACTGTGCGGTCGAACATGACTTTACTGACGCTTCCCCCCCCCC